GTCATTCTTCATTTTTCCTAATACCAGTTTACAGATTGCATCCCAGGCTCCCCAGAGAAGCAGAACTTGCCAAGTATGCTTGTCATTTCTTCTAATTAGGTTTTTAAATAAATCAAAGAACTCTTGTTTTCATTTACCTTGGATTATACAGCGACAGTGTTCTTGTTCATGTTGCCCACAGAGGCAATCCCACTGAAAGGACACTGAATTCCAGACGCTCCAAAGGCTTAGGAGCTTTCCTTCTCTCCTCTTTACTGAGCAGTCCGTTCTCCTACCCTTGGAGAAGAAAATAGGATGGCCTTACCCTATTGCCCCTCCCAGTTCTCCCTCCCACCAACGTGCCCCGTAGACTGCGCTCTGTTTCTGAAAGGGAGCAAGAAGGGAGGATGCGATTCTTCTTGCCTTACTTGCTCTTTCCCCTTTGCCTGATTCCCCACCCTTCCTTAGTTTCTATTCCTCGGCTTGATTCTTTAGATCTGGGATCAACCAAGGGGCTAAGCAATCAGTAGGAAGAAGACAGCTAGGCCAGAACTTGATGCCCATTCCCCCCAGCCCCATCCTCCCCCCATCTTTTTCTGGCTCTATCCTCCATCAGGCCCCTTCCCCAGACTGCCTTCTCTGCCTCCTCCCTGCTCCCAGGATTGGGTTCCCAACCGTTCCCCAGCCATTCATCCTTTTATCACTGTGGCCTCATTGCAGAGATGGAGCTAATGGAAGTAGTGATTCTTTGCAATAAGTCTGTGAGCCCAAGCATGGGAACCCTGTCTGGGGAGAGATGCTGCGAGCCCAAACTGTGTTTGGCCAGGAGCAGGCTCTGGTCCCTAAGTTCTGCTGAAGCAGGGAGACCAAGAAAGGGTTGCCATGCCAGCTCTCAGGATTCTTGAATATTTCCTCCTACTCCTCTTCTTCTGATCTCTGGTGGTTAAACCTGTGGATGTCTGTGGGGGTGAGGGTGGGGGGTGTATCCTTAATTATACAGCAGGAGAGAGAAGGTCAGCAGGCAAGATAATCTGCTTCATCTTCAGGGAGAAATAAGGTTTGGTATATGCCTTATCGGGAAGGGGCACAGCCAGCCTTGTTGTACATGTTTCTTGGGGGTCACAGTTCAGACTATTAGGGGTAACAATTCAGTTGCCTCGGACACTAAGAAGCCCCAGCCTTTTTACAAATCATAGGCCTGTGCAGCTGGGTCTTGCTTCCCTTCCCTCCTTCCTCTGTCCTCTCTTCTTTCTATCAAACTCTGTTAACTACGACCAGATATTCATTGCTACTTAGGGAAAATCACATCTCTGGCTCAGAGGAAGAAAATATAGCTTTCTTGGGTGCATATGGATCAGGGACTTATGACCAGAGGTGGTGGATGGGTGGGTGGGAGGGCACTAGATCTTAAACTCTTTGTCAGGAACAATTCACACACTTTCTACCCCTGCTTGCCTTGGATCCTTCTGTCCCAGCCCCAGCTCCAGTGGTCTAAGGCTGTGATAATTTTACTTCTGTGCTTGATAGGAGCTGAAGTTGGGCGAGGAGCTGTTACTGCTTTGAATGCCAGAGTGCCTGTTACATGGGGAAACAGAGGGCAGAGTCAGAACTTAGAATGTTTTCTCCTACGATCACCGTTAGTCTGCTAGTGGGATTATGCCCACTGACTGGACGTACAGCATATCATTTTGTTGTCGTTATGCAAACAAATGTTGATCCTGGTGTGATGGGATATGGTCCGTATTACATCCTATATTGTCTTACTTTTCATAGATGTTACACACACACACACACACACACAATTGACAAGCTAATGGATTTCCTTTGGATACTAACTGACAAAATCAGAAAACTGATTAGTAAGAACTTAGTAAGAACACTGAAGTTACTTTACTTGATATTTACAACAGTAAGTCTGGCCTTTAAATTCATTGAAGAGAGTGAGTTTTTAAAATTTTTAAATTTTAATCTGTAAACATGTGGAACTAATGACATTTTTGATTCATCACTTTTCATAGTGAAGGAAGCGTCGGTTTAGATACGAGTTCGGTTGTTTTTGTTTTTAAGAAAAAGTAAATACAGTCTAGATTCTGATATTTTAACTTTGTATTTAGTTTAAGTCTTGTAAATAAAAATTGTAACATAACCAAGCCCAAAAAATTCTTTGTTTTGAGCAATTTCTACCCACAGAAACTTATCATCCAGCAACTTCAAATAACTTTGACCAATTGAAACATAGTCATAAACCAAGAATTCAGCAGTTAAAATTTCTGATTCACTGTAACAGTTTTTATCAGTTGAGGAACTGAACCCCATGTATTTCATTACTGTGGAAAAAGGCCTTCATTCAGAATCTGCTTAATTTTGCATATGATCATAAACCTGAATTACCCGATTTCTTAGATTATAAACGGTTTAGAAGCTGTCATTGAAGAAATTGAAGGCAACAAGAGACAGGCACAACAACATTGAAAGGATATCTAGTCTGTTAGAAAACAAAAGTAACTTTCTTCATAGTAAAATGCATCGTGTTATAGTGTTTATGAAGAAAAATTCAGATTATGGTCAATATATCCTAGCTCTAAAGGCACGAAAACATACATGTTATGGGGGTCTTTTAAAATTCAATATTGTTTAAATAAAATTGGCTTTATAACTTAAAGCACTTTACTTCATACATTATCATCTGGAGAACATTGTACTTGAATTGTTCCCTGTGAATGATGTTGGTATATTTACATGCTGTCCCGGAGGGCTGAGAGATACCATAGGTTAACCTTGTGGTTCTCAAACTCTTACTGTGAGCTCAGATCCCTTATTCAAAAGAGATTCTGACTTAGAATCCTGGTATGGAAAACAAGGCAAGGAAGAGGTATTCTGGGTCCCTGCACCTGCTTGGTGCTCTTCCTACAATCCTCAGTGACCTCTTAGGGGGTTCACAGAGTCCCTGGAGCTCTGCAGGTGCAAAGCCAGACTGGAGCAGGACTTATTGATAAGGAAGGAGGCTTGTCTGGTGTGCTTAAAAAACCGTAGCCCATCAGTGGTTGCCTACTGTGAGCAGAGTTGCTTTGTTTGTCTGCAGTGTAATCTACCAGGGGTTTTGTGGATAACGAGTAGACTGGAATCCATTCCAGTTTCCTTAGCATCACTGCAACTCTGACTGGCCACGTGACTCAAATGCCCCATGCATTTTCTGCAGATGGTGCCACCTCAGTGATCTCTGCCCGGAGATCCGAAGGAAACAGGAGAGCAACCTGAATTTGCTTATGGGCATTGTGCTTGTGAAAATTTGCAAACTAGAATCCTGTTCTTGTTGCCCTGAGTGCTGCTGCTGCTTCTACTAGGGCTCCTCCTTGTTCTTCCCCCTCCCACCCTCTTTCTCCTCCCCCTCCTGTCTTTTCAGTAGTAGAGCTGAGACACTTTCCAGTAGTGGGGCTAGATGCTTGAGTTTCCCTTATCCTTTGTTCTTTGCAAAATCAATTGATTGTCAAACGTATTTAATGTTCCAGACCATGTTCTTTCCTCAGGCAGAGGAGAGCCCTCTGCAAGCCGGTAACTAAACCTCAGTCAGCAGGTGTCTAGACTGCAAGCGGAGTTGCTGGAGGGTTCTGGGTGCCTCGTGGGAGGCAGATAGCTCTTTGCATACCCCACGTTGAACGCGTGGAACCGTCTGGGAGGGAGCCGGCTGAAGCTACGTTCCTGATACCGCCCTTTCTGAGGGGGTGGTTTGCAGTCCTTCTAATCTTCTTTGGTAGCAGCAATACCTCAATTTTTGGCTCCCAAATTATATCTCCACAGGGGAAGCCACACATCAGAAGAGGGCAGCTTGCCAGCAATCTATACTAGCACCTTTCCTAAGAATAAGGACTCAAGGCCTTTCACACTTGGATGCTTTGATTCACTATTTCACAGATTAGCTTTGTTATATTAAGCTGCTTTCAGTGCTCAAGCCCCAAAGTTACTCGTGCGGACCTACCTTCTAGCCTGTGCCGTCTGGGGAGGCCTGAACATTCCTCGCTTGGATTTTACACGGCACTGGCAGGATCGAGATTCTCCCTGTTCCTCTCTCACCCTGCTGCTTGGGGTTTTGTTTTTGTTTTTGTTTTTTTGTTTTATTGTCAGAGGAAAGATACACCTCCAAAAGTGTTTTTATTGTGCATTGAAACTGGTACTGACCATCCAAGAGGCCAAACTGTGTCAGGCGGACAAGCATGAGCTCGGAGCTAGCCTCCCCGGCTCTGCTGTGTCCTCATTATGAGACCTCACACACATCGCTTACTGTGCCACCACTTTCTCATCCGTGAAATGGGAGGAAAAATACTACCAATTTCTTAGCGTCGTTGAAGGTTAAATGAGTTACTACTATTTGTGAAGTGCTTCCGAGTGCCCGACTCACAGCGAGTCCAGCATTCGTGTTAGCTGCTCCTGCTATTATTACTGTTGATTGTTATTACCAGGTGGAAGAGTTAGGCTTGTCTTATTACTTTGCTGAAGATTTGAGGGAAGACCCAAGTAGCTTCGTAGAGATTCGTGCCTGGGATAGAAGCCTAAAGCGATTGGCCCCTTGAGATGTCGGCTCTTGGCAGTAGGGAAGGGGTGCCTGTTTTGAGCTGAGACCTAATTCTGCATGTTGGTCCCGCTGCTTACCTACTGGCGTAAAAATGTAAAAAGACAAAAACAAACAAAAAACCATAAAAACGGAGGCGACTAATGCCTGCGTTGTTAGGTTATAAAACTTAAGAACAACAGAGTAAAGAGCCTGGTTCATATTATATGCTCAGTATATAGCAGCTATTATAAGTATTCTATTTTGGAGAGAAAATCTAGCCTCCCTAAGTCATCGAGATACGGAGGTGGGAGGTGGGTCAAAAGACTAAAGTTTGCCCTATTTTCAAATGCTTAAGATGGTGTTTTAAATTTGCTTATGTTTGCTTTCATTATGTATACTCTCTTTAATGCCAGGGAGCTCTCCAGAGCAGACTGGTAACGTTTCTTTTTGTATTTTGAATTGAATGTTGTAGAAATCGGCCCTGAGGAGGAAGTGTGCGGTCTGTAAAATCGTCGTCCACACCGCCTGCATTGAACAGCTAGAAAAGGTGAGACAGCGCCACCTGCTGCAGTGTTGGCTACATTGCAAGTGTTTGGGCTTCTAAGACAAGCTGTTACTTGCTATTTCCAACTTTTTCAAAACCGTGCCCTTTGAAAACGCTGAAAGACCGACATCGTTACCAGACTAGTAATGGAAAACCAGTGCTTCAGGTTAATTCACCCTATTGTTTGCTGAAGGATAATTCGGTATCATTTTATGTTGCCTCTTGGGAGGAGGAGTGGTAAGGTTAGAGAGAAAAGCCTGGTACACGAGATTTTTTTTTTTTTTTTTTTACAATGACAAACGTTGTTCACCCATAGAATTTTCCGCAAGATGTTTTTTTCCTTAAAGAAAAATCTTCTTTCTTTAAGAAAAAAAAATCCATAAGCTCTTTAAAATCATTGTTTAGATTGGTCTGACCTTTTGAGTTTCTTCTTCCTAAAGTGGCTGCAAGGAAGAGAGCCAGGCCAGAAGGCAGCTCTCCTTTCTTCCTCGGGGGCACCATTCTGCTTGCACAGCACAAATGTGTGGGTGGGCTGGAGGTGACATCCCCGTGGTGTCTTGCCTCCAGAAGAAGTAGATTCTGCAGAGTCCATGGATCAGTCACTTGCAGGAAAGGGGGGGGGGGGCTCCAGCCGTGATTGTGTCGTCTGCCGTCTTCTCTTTCTTGTTTCTCCTGTCTTTCCATGCGTAAGTCTCTGTGTTATCTGTGTTCTTGAGCTGCCATGTGTGAATGTGTTGAAATATTTTCATCCCCTGCAACATTCATTATTTTCATGAACACGTTACCGATTGTTGCCAACTGCTATTTTGTAGGGATGACTACCAACATTTATATATATATATTTCTTTTTGCTGTTCCAATCCCACTTACTTATGTCCTCTTTCATTTCTATACTCCTTTCACCTTATCAAGTAACTAAAGAGGATGGACATGTTACGGGGAGACCTGCCTATCTAAAAGAAAGGCAGTACTGAAGACTTAAAGAAAAATTTCAGTGTGTGAATCATCATCATCATATTAAATATTTCTCAAGTTTATGTTGTCCTACTTTTAAAATCTGAAACATAGCTGGGTGATTTCAGCTGCCTTACATATTTTCTCTTACTCTTTATCTCTTTTTCTCAAACTTACAGTGTAAGAGGATTATTGTTTAGAGATATGTTGATTTCATCAATGAGAATGAAGAGACATGGATTGGAGATAGAGGATCACCTGGGGTCTCTATAGTTATCTAGGGTGATGATTTGAAGTGTTACACTGTGTTCCTTATTCTTTGGGTTGTTTTGTGGTCTCCATATATGTCACTGTTGCTTTGTTCAGGTAAGTCAATCTAGTCCGGTGCTTATCCCTAATGTAATACACTTTTCTTTTTAAATGACAGATTAATTTCAGATGTAAACCAACATTTCGAGAAGGGGGCTCAAGATCGCCAAGAGAAGTGAGTGTTTCAGAGCTTGGCTTCACATACCACCTTTACTTCCCATTGATGCACTGGGCTAACAGACATTCACCAGGGATTAAAAACTGAAGTCTAGCTCCCTCCAAGCCACATCGGTTTCTTGTTAATACATCAATAAATACCATGAGTAAAATCTCCCAGTCTCTTCAGCATGTGTATACTGCCCTTTACTATTCTCATGAAATGCATTGGGGAGCTAAGGTCTTAAAGAGCAGGTAGGGAAGCAGTGGTAGAATTGAAGAGGTAAGAAGTAAATAGCACTTTATTGTCTTACGGTCCATCTTAACTCCATTTTTCAATTTTGAGTGGATAGAAACTACTCAGGGGGCAGCATAGTTACCGAGTATTCCCACAGACACTGGAGCCTGATTGGTTTCCATACCTGTCTAGACGCTGTGTGATTTGAGGCGTCTTACCTCATCTTTCTGAATTGCAATGTTTTTATCTGCTAAGTCAGTAGGTAGCTAGGTAGATGGAAGAACTACATTCAGTGCTCAGTCCTTGACCTCACGGCCCAGGCGTGAAGACAAGCAAGTAAACAGGAAATCATAGCGAAGAGCAGTTGCTCTGTTAGTGGTAAGCAGTGGGGAGGACAGGAGGAGAGCTGCGCTTAGTCAGATGGGTTCATTTAGCTCTTTTTCAAGGAAAGGGAGCACAACATGGAAAAGTTAGAGAAGGTAAGGTTGTTGGTAGAGGGTCTCAGCGCTTCTGTGTTATCCTGGATAGTCTAGCTCCAGGTCCCAAATAGCACTCTTCAATTGGCAAAACAAAAGGCTGCAATGAACAGACCCTATCCTTCTTAGAACACAGTTTAGCTGCCCAGGTGTTACCATTGTGTATGGTGCTCTTCCTAAGAGAAAGTGTGGTAGGTGTCATTTTTGTGAAATATACGTTCTCCATTTCATTTACATTCCCAGGGAGATTATTTTCAGTTCCACATATAGATTTAGCTCCTTGGAAACCTTCCCAGCTGGTACACTCCTCAGACTAGCTCTGTGCACTGATGAATAGGCGAGAGAGGTAGGATACCAGAGAAGGGGCTTCCTGGAAGAGGTGGCAAGTAAACTGAGACCCAGAGGAGTTATCTAAGTGAAGGTGTGTGGGGTGGGACAGTAGTTAGGAGGCGACAGTCTCCTAGACAGAAAGAGCACATGCTCCCAAGCACAAAAATGAGAGAACATAACAAATACGTGAAATCCAAGCGATAAGCAGGGGCTAGGCCATGAAGGTCCTTGTAAGCCATGTTACAAGCTGAGTGTTTTATCATCGTGGTAATTGGGGGGGGGGCATTAACTATTTTTTTAAAATTTATATGTTTATTTGAGAGAGAGAGAGAAAGAGAAAGAGAAGGGTAGGGATAGGGGCAGAGGGAGAAGAAGAGAGAATCTCAAGTAGACTCCCCGCGGATGCGGGGCTCTATCTCACAACCCTGAGATCATGATCTGAGCCAAAATCAAGAGTTGGATGCCCAACCGACTGAACTAACCAGGTGCCCTGGAGCATTAAACTATTTTAAGTAGAATATGTTATTCTGGCTGCAGTGTGGAGGGAATACCATATAGTTCAAGAGCAGCCATATTGGAGGCATGGAGACAATTTAAGGAGCTCTTCTACGGCTGATCTGAACTATGAGTAATATTGAGGGTGGAGATAACTGGTACATATGAATTTGAAGGAAGTAAAATTGACAGGATGTAATAATTGATTGGATGATGGGCCCAAAGACAGAGGAGCCCAGAGTTAAACCAGGCTTCTGCCCTGGAAAACCAATGAGATGTTAGAGAATGAGTTGATTTGAGAATAGGGTGGGGAGGTAAGTTGATGAGTTTAGTTGTAGAATTTTCAGGTGTGTGGTGTCCTTGAGGCCTCAGTTGGAGATGCCCAGTAGAACGCTGAGTGGGTACGTGAGTTTGGAGCTTATGAAGAAGATTGGGTTAGAGGGAAGACATTTGTGAATTGTCAGCACATATATAGATAGTAATTAAAGCTATGAGAATAGATGAATGTATAGAAAAGGAATAGAGAAGTTGTGTCAGTACAGAGAGGGTCACTGACATTTTAATGACAATGAAGAACACACAGTGAAAAAAGAATGATCTCGTTACCAATACAAGATTAGGAGAAAACATGGAAGGAGGGTAGTTTGGGAGTGGACATTGTGGAGAGAGGAAAAATAGTTGTCCCCGTCACTTGTCTTCTCCCACTGTGTTTGGCCATTATGTCAGCAATAGGAAGGTGACGGGCCATACATAGGGTGAGGAAAGTGCAAGAAAAATGATAGGCTTGTGGGTACCTTCAGTGCCGCCCAAGTGCACAGCAGCATTGGCCAGAAGATAACTCAGAGCCCTAATGAAGGAGAAAATTAGAAGGAATCCTTTTGTGTTTTTAAGACGAACTGAGTGAATTTCCACCTGGGGATCCATATGTCCACGTTCAGCTCCCTGTCCTTTAATTTCTCTCTTTCTAGATAGATAGACAGTTGTGATTGCGTGGGCCATTTTCTAATGCAAGGGGTTATATGTTTTTTTTAGTTTTTAGTAGCAGTATCCCTTCTCTTCTGTGAAGCCAGACCCTCCTCCACAAGTATTTTGAACACCTGCTCTTGTCTTTGCAACAAGAACTTAATAATTTCTTCCATTCCTACATCTTCAACTCTCCACCCCTCCTCTAGATTATTTCCATCACCATAAACATGCTCTGACATCTCCCCTCTTAAAAAATAAACAAGCAAAAATATTTGTTAGCCTCCAACTGTGTCTTAACTGCTGTTCAAGTCTCAGTTTTGCATTCATTGCTAAACTTCCACAAAGTGTTGTCTCTATCACTGTTTTTAGTATATCACCTCCCCGTCATTTTCACCTGTCCTCATCTGATTTCTACTCTGTCCATTCACTGAAATTGCTTTTTTTCAATGTTGCCAAAATCTCCCAGATACCAAACCCATTAGATATTTTTCTGTTCTTATTTAATCTTTCAAATATATTCAAATTATTCAAGATTCTACCCTTCTTAAATACCTCTCCTGTCATGACATCTTTCCTAATTTTCCTCTTATCTTTTTTGGAGGGTCCTTCCCACTCTCTTTCATCATTCACTCCCCCTGAGTCATACAGAATCCTCTGGGCTTGGTACTTGGCCATATTTTCTCTCTGTCCACTCTTGTTGGGAGAGCTCATCCAATTTCATGGCTTTAAAAATCATGTCTGAGCTGATAACTCCTAACTTTATAGTTCCAGTCCACACTTCTTAGAGTTCCATTTGACATGTCCCTTGAATGCATCATGATCATCTCAAACCTAAACATTAAAACTAAACTCTTTATGAACATCACCATAAAAACTTTTTTTTTCAATTCTTTTGCATCTCAGAAAATGAGATGACGCTTGATCCAGGTCCTCAGTCAAAAAGACTGGGGGATCATTGATTCCTTCTCTCATGTATTCCACACACTAATTCATTTGCCAGCCTATCAATTTTATTTATGAAATATATTTCAAATTACCTGCTCATCTCCATTTCTGTTGTCAAACAAGCACCCTAGACTAAGACACCATGATCTCTTTTGACTACTGCAATAGCTTCTTTATGATTCCTTAATTTTCCCCTCTAATCCATCGGGATTTAAGAGGGTGATTTTTAAAACAGAAATCAGATCCTGTAATTTTTCATCCTAAAATGTTCCATTAGTTTTCATAGCACTTAGAGTAAAACCCAACTCTTTGTCATGGCATGAAAAGCCCTGCGTAGTCTTGCCCAAGCCTAGCTCTCCAGACCCATCCAGCTGCCACATGGACTTTCTTTCAGTTCTTGAGGCATGCATCCAGGTATTCCCCATGTTCAGACATTTATGTAGTTCACTGTTGTACTGGAAACCTCTTTATGGCTAACGGTTTCTTAGAGTTAGGCCTCAGCTCATATATCATCCCCTCCAAGGTCTTCTTTGATGACTTCCTCTGAACAGGTTACACATTGTTCTTTATCAAAGTACCTTGTTCTGCCCCTTCAGAGCACTTTGTATGTCATAATTATTTATGGGTATTACTCATTTGCTCATTTGTTGTCCCCCTGAAGTGTAAGCTTTGGGAGGTCACTCATGGAATTTGTCCCAAACTCACTGTACCAGGACATAGAGGATGTGATCTGTTGACTGTCTGTTGACTGAAAGCAATTATACAGGAGTTAATTTCTCCCCCAATGCCTAAGAACTCTTGTTCTAAGAGGACAGTTTGAAGATGAAACTTAAGGAGGGCTATGACTCACTTGAGATTCTTAATTAAGAGACCTTGCATAGTTTACTGAATGTCAATGAAAGAACAGTCACCTTAGAAATAGTTTGGCTGGGTTCAAATCATACCTCTGCTGCTTTTCCACTTTCTGGTATCTCCAGTGCAGGGATCTAGAGCAGCGATTGTTAATCGCTGTACCTTGTGCTTTGTGGAATGTCTGACATGTGGAAGTTTGTTAATGAACATTGGTAGGACTCCTCTAGGTGGAATCTTTCTGGACCTTGGTTTTCCAAGACATAAGCTATATAGATTAGGTTATAATTTCAAGATTCTCTCATGCACTCTATGAGTAATACTAGGAATTGAATTTGCTGTTTGAAAATAAGCAAGTGTGTTATGTATTTCTGCTAACAATACTGAGTATAAACCCTGAAATAGTGTATCACTGAGATTTTAACACCCATAAGTAATAGCCCTTTCCTTGCCCAGTACTTGAAGATAGTATATGAATAATTCAGAGATTATTGATGAACAATAAAAAGATGTCATGGTGTTAGAAGCCTTGCTTTGCTATCTTAACAGCAGTGTGTCACTCACATTTGCAGTGTAAGGATCCCGAGTCTAATTTCAGCTTCATAATTTAGGAGATGTGAATAATAGTCAAAAGGAAAGTGTGAAAAATGAAAGTACTTGGGAGTAAGGATTAGAAAACAGCAGTGATTCCATAGAAATTGGGTTCTTCCCCCTGATTGATATGGCAACTGATGTTCCTCCCAAGTGACACCTACATGAGTTGATCATCAAAAAAATTAGGTTCAGAATTCCATTCCACTCAACACACATTTATTGGATATTTGTTCAAACTGTTAAAGCAGTGATAGAATTTCTATTAGGCCTAAGAAGGTCTTTTCATAGAAGGATGCTTGACCTCTCAAATCAGAGCTCCATATGGGAGGCAGTTACTCAGTTTCTTCTCAAGGAGTGCTTTTGTTTCAGTTACTTTCTCTGTGCCTTAATTTGTGACCCAATTTCTAGGAAGAATGATATTAAAAATATTTAACAACTTCCTGAGTCATATAGTAATATTTAAATAAACGATTTAAAAGTGTTCCCTTATATTCCCTAAACAGATTAAACTACATGGTATTATAAATCTGCTTACCAAGTGACACATATTGCAACATAAATGATTCATTAAGTCAGTCTTATAATTTCTAAATAATTGTTGATTTCTGGAAATTGTTGCCTTAATCTTTTGATTAGAGCTGTCACTAGCTAAATAACCCTATGAGTCAGCCCTGATTTCATAGGCAATTGCATCAAATTCTTCCAACATTTCCCTCCCTCAATTGATAGTCATTAGGTGATTTATAATCTCCATAAGCAGATAATTTCCCTTATCATCAATGACATTGTTCATGTTCCCACCGCTTCTGCTAAACTAACAGCAATTACAGTAAATTTTTCTCTCTCATAGTATTGTCTGACATTTTTGTATATTCAATATTTCTACTACTGACTGTCATTGAAATCATTTCCTGAAGGAGCTTGATCCCGAGCTTTCAGCACAGAGGAAAGGCATAGCGACCCAGGGGTTCAGAGTGTAGACTCCGTTGCCAGCCTGCCTGGCTTTGAATCCTTGCTCTGACCCTTACATCTGAAGTCACTGCTCAATACCTTAGTTTTATGATCTCTAAAAGGAGGATGATAATGATAATTCAAGCAAAACCCTCTGATAATGTGCCCTAAAACATTGTGAATTGAGATATGGTATAGTTGGCAGCTGGCCCGGTCCTCCCCAGCCCTGTTCTTTTTTTTTTTTTATTAACACATAATGTGGAGCACCTGGGTGGCTCAGTCATTAAGCGTCTGCCTTCCGCTCAGGTCATGATCCCAGGGTCCTAGGATCGAGCCCCACATCGGGCTCCCTGCTCCACAGGAAGCCTGCTTCTCCCTCTCCCACTCCCCCTGCTTGTGTTCCCTCTCTCACTGTGTCTCTCTCTGTCAAATAAATAAAAATCTTTAAAAAAAACACATAATGCATTATTTGTATTTGTTTCAGGGGTACAGGTCTGTGATTCAGTCTAACACAATTCACAGCGCTCACCACAACACATACCCTCCCCAATGTCCATCACCCAGCCACCCCATCCCTCCCAGCCCCTCCACTCCAGCAACCCTGTTTGTTTCTTGAGATTAAGAGTCTCTTATGGTTTATCTCCCTCTCTGGTTTCATCTTGTTTCATTTTTCCCTCCCTTCCCCTATGATCCTCTGCCTTGTTTCTCAAATTCCACATATCAGTGAGATCATATGATACTTGTTTTTCTCTGATTGACTTATTTCACTTAGCATAATACCCTCTAGTTCCATTCTTAAGCCAGCAGTGGGCTAGAGTTCTCATCACCTGAGTGGATGGAAGGCTGAAGTGATCAGCCTCACCTGTGAGGTATAGCGGCGCAGGGTCCAGCAACTTCATCCCCAGGAGGTGGTGTGGACCCTGATAACTGGGCAGGTTCCTGACTTGCTGCCACTGTTCTGAGAGCCACAGCTGGCCATGGGACCCAGCATTGTTTGTGTGATACTTAAACTTACACGGACAAAAACCATCAGTTGGGCACAGCCCAGTCTTCTGAGTGTGCTGGGCCGGGGGGATCCCAGTGGCATTGTTCAGGCAACGTGATTTGTTTTTGAAAGAGAGGTCATTGGAACAGAATCCCAGACACCTGCCAAAAATAAACATTCTAGTTGCTTAATAGTGAGGGGATAGAAATGATTTCCAATGTTGAGGGGGTGGGGTGAGGTGGGGTGTTATGGCAGTTAGGGAGGAGCCAGGGGGATCATAGGGGAACTAAACTAATTTATCAACCAGTATAGAAATATTTCAGTATTTTAACAACTCATGGGATTTTTCTGGTACATACTGACTGAATAGCACCTCTACTCATAAAAATTCTCATGAAAATTAAAATAATTATTACATTTAAAGCATTTTAAAAGTGCCTGACACAGTGAGTACTCAAAAATATTATTATTAACTTCTTTCTGAGAACAATATAAGAATTGTGTCCTTGTTTTATTAAACTGCCTCAGTGGGAAAAGCAAGACAAAATTTAGACTAATTAGGGGACTGTTATGCTTCTTTATATCTTATTATAGTTAAAAGACCATTATTCCTCCAGGATCTTTGTTTAGTTTTAACTTGAATTGATTTGACATTATAAAGAGAAATGGAGCTAACATTTTAGATAATGCTCATGTTTGTTAGAGGTATTTTCGTCACTCTGAATTTCATGTGTCGATAGAACCCTTTTTTTCCTCAATGCTGATCTATTTCCTGTACACCTGTGTATGTACAACAGGGCCTGGCAGGTAGTAGGCATCTAGTAAGTATTTGCTGAATGACCTTTTAAAGGGAAATATGGGTTGTGGCCTGATGATAGACATGTTAGTGTCAGGTAAAATGTGTTTTCTCAGAAAAGGGCAAGAGAAAAAAAGAGGAAATATTTTACATATATTTGTCTAAGAAGGATGAGTTGTATGTAAGTTTATTTGTGCCATTGGGCCTGAAGACAACTTTCTCTCTATAATATATCCTAAGAGCAGTGGTAATGGGGCTCCTTAACTCCCTGCCCAAGGACTGATTGTCTATTTGGGAGGAAAAGGAAGTTCTGTGTTTCCTATGGCCCAAGACCAGAATAGACTTTGAAAGCGGATCTAATTTCTAGAACCCAAGGACAGTTTAAACACAATGTCATTGTACAAACATCACGATGGGCCCGCATTTCTTGCCTCTGTCATCTTTCTCCTTCAGCTTTTCTTTCCCTTCACTTTTTGCTAATGAAAAATTCTCCTCCTGTATGTCCTGAATGAGGAGATCTGTTTCTTTCTGAGAACTTAATTTCTTGAAGTTCTTTCTAATGCGGGTGTTTGGTGTCCGGCGTATATAAAGCATTACATACATATTTGTTTTTAAAAATGGATATTGTTGCTCCATCTTATCTCCCTCACCTTTTTACCTCTCTGAGGGGATTTCAGTGACCTCCCACATCCGCACAGTGTTCTACTAGGAAGGAAGCAGAGAAATGGCATTATGGTGTGGCCACGAGGAAGACGTGGAGGGAGGACACGATGAACGGCTTCTACAAATACCAAAGATCACTGGGCATGGGAGTAGCTTCAGTTTTCCAAGCGGATTCATGTTTATTGTTAAACAAATCACTCAGACATGTATTTGGTTTTGTGCTAATAGGGGCTTAGATTATGGTTTATGGAAATCTATATGCTTAAAACATTAAAAAAACTAATAATGGGGTTGGCAAATTTAAACATACTCATTTAATTTTGTTTTCCCACAGAACTTTGTGCGTCATCACTGGGTACACAGGCGTCGACAGGAGGGAAAATGTAAGCAGTGTGGTAAGGTAAGGGGCCCGGCAGCCCATGGCCATCGCGGGAGGCTCCCCAGGTCTTTGCAAGCACCCGAGGTAGATGAGTCTTCTCACCCGAATCCAGTGCTCAGTACGTCTCTCCCTTTCTGAAAGGCCTTATTTCTCCAGGTCCCTTTCCTCAAGAGGTGTTTTAGTTGTCGTAGAACTCACTGCAAGAGGCAGGGGTCTTAATCCAGGTATGAGCACATTTTAAGAGAGTTGGCTACACTGTTACGGTGAATTTCATTGTCCATAGTTAAAAAAAGAACACTGCTTATTTTGCTAAAACCCCCTCCCGGGGACTACTGGCTGGTCACACTCCTGGCTCAGCAGCAGCAAATCCGTGGGTTGTTGAGCAGCTCTACTTTTATTGACACAGTATTGTGGTTGAGCAGAACTCAACAGAGAAAGGACAACACAGAAGCAAGAAATGTGTTGCTCTCTTAGGACACTATCCCATTCCTGGAATGAGATGGCCTCCTCATTTTGTAGCTGTTTATGTCTACTCTCTCTCTCAGTGTGACTGGTTGGTAAAAGGCCTCTTGGAGTGCGGGGCCACTGGGAAAAGGAAGGTGGGGGAAAGGGTGGGTCCTCAGGCCACATGCTATGAAACCCCATAGATTCTACATGTTATTGACATGATATTGATTTGGGTTATGGCTTTTTTCTTTGTACAAAGATCTACTTTAAGGATATAAGGACCCTGTGGGAAGGTTAAACTGGTGGTGAATCACACTACAAAGATTGTTTTTTTTTTTTAATTGATAGTAAGCTGGGCTCAGTAAAGGGAAGTTTTGATTGAGTAAAGCAAGACAATTTGGAAGAATATATTCCTCATAAGTTAATTGACTTTTTGGATCAAGCACTGGGATGAGCTGACCAGCATAGCATTTTTGACAATAGAGAGATGCGAGGAAATATTGGCTATCTGAGGAGTGTTGAGGGTGAGTGAGACTTAGAAAAAGTTTCATGAATTTTGCTGTTTTGACCAGTGCTGGAAAGAAAATATCATATTGTAGCATCAGTTACCAAGTTTTTCTTTGGAAGGCTACCTATCTCTGCTTCAAGGGTATGGCCTTCCATTTTAACTGGTATTATCTCCTCAGTTCACAGTGACCTTTAGTTGGTTCCTTTCTAGCCTGTAAAGAGGACAGATGAAATAGGTTGAAAGGGGAAGGAGGTAAAAGTAAGATGAGGAGGAGGAGGAAGGGGGAGTGGAACGATTTTTACTAGCATTTTACATTGTGAGGGAGAAGGAAGTCAGCCCTCTACTCTTATGTGGGCTTCCTTCATTGGGTCCATCTACCCTACTCTTTCTGGTGTTGCCTTGGGGCTTGTGGACTTTCTCTTACTTAGTAGATTGTAGACTATCTTCAACTCTCCCATAAGAGAGAGAGTGTGTGTGTGTGTGTGTGTGTGAGAGATAGAAGAAACAGGTATTTAGGCACAGCTAGCTTTGAGGTTAGAGATGGGCAGGGTAGGAAGGATCTGGACGAACAAGCTCTTTGCCTTGCAAACATATCTTCACTGGACAGCCTAGTAGCTGACACTCCCCCAGTAACTTTTAAGCCATAATAGAGTTGGAGGAATTTTATTAAAAGAAAATCAATAAACATATCTTATGACAGGTATCCCCTAGTGTCACATTATGCTCCCTTTTCTGGCCTTGTCTTCTGTTGGCATGGTCAACCAAATGGGGGAAAACTGGACTGTTTGTACCCTGAGTTGCTGTGACCATGTTTCCTTTGCTTCCTCTGTTCTCAGGCAGCAATCTTGGAGTGCTCACAGCTCTCTGCCCATCATAGCTATTAGCTGAGAAGTCAGTGATTCCCAACTTTTCACATAATGTTCCCACAATAATGTATTACTATATTCATCCCCTGTGTATAATCCAGCTGCTCGCAGCTTCTCAGAGACTCAGGCAGTTATGGGATGGGATGGTCTTAGACCTGTGTGTCTCGCTGGACGGTAAATAATCCTTCTTTGGATCCTGGCTTGTACTCTGGATTAGAGGAAAGCTAGTGGCTCTATTTCCATTTTATAGATTAAGGGATTGGAAATTCATTTCAAACTTTGCTGCTATGCTTAATTTTCATCAGTAAGGTTGTACATTCTTACATATTCAGGGATTCTAAACCATCACACACCCTCCAACACACACATACACACATATCCCATATACATTATTCATAATTTACCCATTGGGATGGGGTGAAAAACAATCACTTCACTTAGCAAAACTTTTTTTTCCAACTGGTGGTTTGCAAACTTCTGGGGTTGTTAGGGAGTGTTTATAGTTAAAGATGTTGTGGTTTCAAGTTCTACTTTTAAAAATCAGAATAAAGTAAATATTTGAACTGAATTTCTCTTGAGCCTTGAATATGTGTTTGGCTAAGCGTGTGTGGCACTTGATAGATAGCAGATGAGAGAGCTCATGATTCAATTGCTCTTTAACATTTGCTGACTACCATGAGCTGCCACGTTTTATGAACATTATATAATTTCACATTGTTTTCATTCATAGTCTTGTATTACATAAGAGTTAGGGTTTAGGCAGAAAAGAGGTAGCATACTCAAACTTAAATCATGTATTTGATGAGTGTTTAATAGAGAGAAGATTTAAAATGTGTGAGCAGAGTGTGGAGAAACTACAAGGGATAGTGAAGAACTCAGCAGGAGCCATGCCCAAGTCAAGTCTGAAGAGGTGAGGGGGGGAGATGGAGAGAGCCCCTTCACAGGAGCTGTAACTTTTAGTCACAAGACTTAGCCAGCCCGGGTGACCTACCAGCTGAGGGAATAAATACCCCAACTTCACTTACCTTCAGTACCTCCAGTGGCCAAATCTAGTAGAAACCAGACTACAAGGGGCACTGTTGAGACAACCCATGAAAGTCAACTTTTTACAATGAGATGTGGGATAAAGAAAGAAGTGGATCTGGAGAGGCAGTGGGATTGATCCAGCACATATTGTTTAACGTAAAGCTATATTCGGTCAGTGATTAAAGGAAGGATGTGTACTTATTCCGCAAACCTATCTCTTACTGATCTTCACCACATCTACACATTCATTCAATCAAAATTCACTCAACATTGAGTTATCCACAGTACTTTAAAAAATCAATATGCAAAGAAAAAATATACTCGTGATTCTGGCTAATTTGACCTTTCATTTTTGAAGGAACCAAGCCTCCAAACCCAGCTGTAATGGTAATTGTGAAAATATGCTTGTAAATCATAACTTGAGCCCTTATCTTTTATTTCTTCATTTAGAAACACATATAAGAGTCCTAAAAATAAATAAGCTAGCTTTTTGAAACTCAGAATTATAAACTTTCAAACACCAAATCTTGAAAGCAGTTTCTAATACAACAATATATAGTTAAACTTTGGTCTGCATTTTTGATACCTTCCAGTTCTCTAACCAAACATGCTACATCATTTTGAATTATTTGTCTGTAAATCATATGTACTATCATATATAGTTTAAGTAAATTAAAGAGCGTAGCAGTAATTAAATGGGAAAATGTCAAAACTACTCTTTACTATAAAGAATATTATTAACAACTAATTTTAAATGAATTTATGGTACAATATTTAAAATATATGTATTTAAAGGAAGTATATTTAATAGCAGTTTTTTTATTGCTAAAAGAATAAAGTGCTTAAAAACATTCCATGGGGTATGGTTGAGATATTCTATGAACGGTGAAAAGGGATTAGAGAAAAATAACGGAGGTAAAATGAAAATAATGGAGAATACTGACCTGGGACTATGAGAGATGTTCCCTTACCACCTTAAAGCACCATTCTCCACCAATCTGAAAATGTGTGTGCCCTGGGGTCAGCTGTCAAGAGACCCTGCAAGGTTAGGAGCAAGGAATGGAAGTTCAAGAGTGAGGATCTATGCACTGGTTAGGCAGGTTTGGTTATTTGCCTGTGTGTTTGCTATAACAGGGGAATCTTCTGCCTTTAACCTCAAGAGGATCAATGAGGAAGTGCAGAGTGGGTAACACAACCAGGGCAAAGAAATCAAGCCTCTCCAGTAAGCCTCTGCCAACATAGCTGCTGGGAGCCTGGCTTTCCTTTCTGTCCTTGGCTGAGTATCAAGAAAGGAGACAAGGGCAATCAGTATTCTGCTCTCTGCTTCTATGCATTTGACTGTTTTTGATTCCTCATGTAAATGGTATCATATAGTATTTGTCTTTCTGTGTCTGGCTTATTTCACTGACCATAATGCCCTTCAGATTCATCCAAGGAAGGGGAAACGAGGAAGTAATAGTCAAAGGGTACAGAGTTTCAGCTGTGTAGGATGCATGAAACCTTGAGATCTGTACAACAGAGTGCCTGTAGTGAACAACACTGTATTTTAGACTTAAAATGTTGCTGGTGGGGGGGTAGATATTATGTTAAGGGTTCTTATCACAAAAAACAATTACTAATGAGGACAGGAGGAAACGCTTGAAAGTGATGGATGAGTTTATGGCATAGATTATGGTGATGGCTTCATAAGTATATACTTATCTCCAGACTCATCAAGGATGTCAATCCTACCTCCACAAGGTGGTTAAAAAAAAAGAAAAAGAAAGGGAACAAGGGCTGAGGGCTCAGAAGCAGTGCACTTCAGTCCCCAGGGGTTGAATCACTCAGTTCTCACTCAGTTCTGTAGATCCATTTTGGTATGGCCACTTTTCCTTGGTCTTTGGCATGGTCAGTGTCCTGGGAGTTACAGCTCATGTGGTGCTCTGATCACCCTGATCCCTGTTGCTCTTTCTTCAGAAGTGCCTTCGCTGTGAAGGCACTAGGATGGTGCAGAGGGAGGAGTTGAACTGCAGAAAGGATGCCCCAGTGGGTAATCTGGGTGCCAAATAGATTCTTCTTGCCTACCTTGTCAAATAACAACTATACCTCTACCTAATGATCAGGAGCAATTACTACTGCCAAGATGGTGACTCCTTCCTGTGCCTGCTACTCTCTTGACACAAAGATCCCAAAAT